AATTCCTAGGCACTTCGGATACCTGTAGGACGTAAGATTCCCTAAGGTTGTAAAGTCCGATGATAAGGAAGTTACTTACCGCAGTAAAGAAACTTAAATATATTACATGAAGTAATCAGAGAAGATTATTCCCGGTGACAGCGTAATTAAACATTTTATTTTTTAAAAAAAAATATTTTTTTTAAATTTTATTTAATATAATCCCTTCCTCAGTGTGTGTCAAATATTAGCAAAAATTTGAGAATAATGCATTTTTGAATTAATACTTCAAATTCTAACGTAACAAATAATCTGAAAAAGTCCGATTCATAAATATTCGTACTTCTTCATCTCCAAAATCATGTTTTGATTATGAATAGATATAAATCAATACTGACATGTAAATTATAATATTGTTGGTGTTTTCCTTTTAAAATTTCTTTTTTCTTTAATTAAGTGTTTGTTAATCCAACTTTAACATATCACAATAATGCATCTGGATTTTTATAATGATAGTTTCTCAATATATAGTTTAAAAAAAAACATTATTTATTAATAACAAGAAAGTCAATAACAATAAGGAATTTAAAAAAAATCATTCATTCAACATTACTGATAAATTTCAATTAATTTTGTAGAACCGGCTGATCATATATAATATATATATGATATGTAACACAAAAATTTTACACGTTTATCTTTTGTATAAACTTTTATTCAAAACAAATATTGAAATGGATGGTTCTTTAATTTTACTTTTCGGATTTTAATAATGAGGAAGATTTTGAATATCATGATAATGAAACAGATTTTAAATATCATGACAATGATAAGGATGAAGACCTTGACCCAAACAGAGTCCTTTCAGAGGAAAATGAAGAGAAAGAGGAAGATGCGTTGATAACTTTACCTTCGTATACTAAGAGAATATCTAAAGTATAGGGTTTTTAATGAAAGAACATTAGAACACCCAGGATCACCTGTTTGTAAAAAATGTGGTGAAAAGTTTAGTACAGATACAGGAATATCAACTCTTAAACATCATTTGGAAAACAAACATAATATTAAAATTCCACAAGTTATAACCAATCAAACTAAACTTTCTTTTTCTCGTATTGATCTATAGCCAGTTAAAGAAAAACAAGAACGTGATGATGCATTAGTAACATGGATAATTGCTGATCAACAATCTTTTTGTATTGTAAAAAATAAAGAATTTATTGCAGTTTTCAATAAGTTTGATCCGCGTTATATTGTTCCAAATCATCACCAAATAAAAGATATGGTTATATCATACTTTGAATTACATCATTCTATGATTATTAATGATCTTAAATGTATTCCTGGTAAAGTTTCATTAACTTCAAATATATGGACATCAACTTTAACAACAGAAGCATTTTTGGGTTTATCTATTCATTATGTAGATGATGGATGGGTTTTGCATCATTTTTTATTAGATATAATACCATTTAAAGTAAGACATACGGAAATTAATATAGCAGAACATATTATTATAGTACTTAATAAATTTGAATTAATGAACAAAATTCTTGGACTTACAACTGATAATGAATCTGCTATGGTTGTATGTGGTCGCGAAATAGCAAATCAAATTCAACAAAATTTTAATTCCTTGATCTTTTGACATTATCAGTGTTCTGCATATATTCTTAATTTAGATGCAAAACAAGGATTAGAATTAATTGATAAAGAGGTTATTAATATTAGAAAATTAATGTGTAAACTTAAAAATTCAATTTTAATGTGTGATGCACTTCGGAATCTTTGTCAAGTAAAATCCATTCAATTTTGGAATCCCGCGCGTGATGTAGAAACTCAATAGAATTCCACATATTATATGTTACAAAGATTTGAATAAATGGAACCTGCATTACATTTGCTTGAAGTAGAATATCCAGTAATAAGTAATTTGCTTCCAAATACAGAAGGTTGGATAAAAATTCGGGTAAGAAAAAAATTAATTATTAGTTATTTATTTTATTAATAAAATATAAAAATTAACTTAATTTTATAAAATAAAGGATACAATTACTTTATTAAAAAGCTACTGTTGTACTTTCCACAGCATCATATCTAACAATTGCTGATGTTCATTTTTTAATAATAGAAATACAAGAGCATCTTCAATTCTATATTAATAAGGATGATTTTAGTCAATCAATGATGGCTTCTTCAATCAATCAAAAAATTGGTAAATATTGGAATATTGTTGATTCAGCAACTCATATTTCAGCAATCTTAGATCTGCGTACAAATCTTGCACTTTTTAAAAGTGGACAACCAATATCTGATGCATTAAAAGATCTTTGAATGGTTATGAATAGATATTATTTACCTTTACCAACTTCACCTACATATACTAATATTAAGAATACTAAATCTACACAGAATTGGTTTAATAATGCAAAACGTCGTCATATTGATGCTACCTTTTCATTATCATTAAATAATAATGAAACAAATTCTTCAATTGCTTCTGAATTGGATTGTTATATTGCTTTACCATGTGATGAAAATGTAGTACCATTAATATGGTAGTAAGGTCATCAAAGGGAATTTCCTGTTTTATCTCGTATTGTATGAGATTATTTGTCAATTCAAACTACAAGTGTAGTTTGCGAACAGGCATTTTCTATTGCAACAAATACTATTACTAAAACACGTAACAGATTACATCCTACAACAGCTAGAGCATCTTTATGTATAAAGAGTTGGATTGCTAATAATATTGGAGAAAAGTTAACATAAATAGAAATATAGAAACGAATTTAACGAATTGTAATGAAATTACAATAAATTTCAAATTTTGCATAAAAATTTCAATTTTACAATATAATAATTTATTGAATAAACATTTATTACTTGCTTTATAAATTCGAATTTTTTTTTATTTTTCTTGCAATTGATTTTTAAATGTTTATATAAAAGGACTAGTCTTAGACCAGTCACAAGACCAGTTATTAAGGATCAGATCATGAATCTTAATAATAGAACCTGCAAGTCCTAGGACTAGGATCAGACTAAGACAGAATTTTCCAACCCTAACAACCTGGAAGTCTATTGTATTTGTCCTGAATTTTAAAAAAACTTTGGCTGAATTCAAAAAATACGCCAAAACTACAGATTGTATACGCAGTCAGCGTATGCAAAGTTATATTAGATCTGGACAATGAAATTATTCAAGTTAACAGTAAAATTATGAAAAGTTAAGTGCAAAGAAATTTGGTAAATATTACAAAGCTTTAAGTAATATTACATGATATTACATAATAATATTAAAATTTCTTTTAATTTTTTAGAAAAGGAT